ACAGAATACATGGCAGCAAGGATAGCATCATAGTCAAGATCAAAGATGGCAACCCTCGCCCTAGACAGATCTCCCCAGCGAGGGATCTCTGACGCCTCACGGAACTGGCGACGCCACGCGTCTGTCAGGCGATCGAAGCAGCGCTGGGCGGAGTGCGGGCCCTCGCACTGCTCACCAGCTCGGTCGCCGGTACGGAGGACGTAAGTGCAGGGACCAGTACCCCCACCGCGCTGACGCGCAGCGTACCACTCAGGAAGCTGCTGAGGGGACAGAGTCACACCACTCCGCTGCTCCTGGCGCGGACCACCACCTGACCCACTCCTCTACGCAGAGTCGCGACCCGCTCCACCACCGCCCTCCACCTCCGCCTCCTCCGCCACCTCCGCCGCCTCCGCTCCCTCCGCCACCACCGCCGCCTCCTCCGCCTCCACTGCTGCCGCCGCGGCCGCCACCCTCGCCACCACTCCCACCACCACCCCCACCCCCTCCACTACCTCCACCACTACCTCCACCGCCCCCGCTAGTCCCTCCTGTGCCCATGCCCCCCTTGCCCTTGCCGGGGCGGCGTCTCCCGCTAGGGGCAGACACAGCGCCGACCGACTCAAAACCAACGAGGTCGGCCGCAGCAGCAGAAGCAACAGAGGGCAAGAGGGGGGAGGGGGAACACCGCTCAAAGACGGGGGTGCGAGGGTCACCACGAGAGGCTCCTACAGCGACTATGCTCTTCTCTATAGCTAGGAGGCCCTTCTCGAGGAGGTCAACGGTGAGAGTGGTGGGGCAAACTGAGAGGAAGTGGTCCCTGACTACGCGGAGAGAGTCAGGGAGCCGGGTGACTATGTAGTAGAGGGTGATGTACATGGGGGGGGGGGGGGGGGGTTCTTGGCGCAGAACTCAGCAGGAAGCGCAGCGCGGTAGCGAGTGTCACTAGTGCGGAGGTGCGTAATGAGGTCAGCGACTGTGGGAAAGGCAGCAAGGTCAAGGAAGAGGTACGGTAGCATGAGGCGGCTCAGTGCAGCAGTGGCAGGGGAAGAGTAGCGTGCAACTACAGTGTCGTACAAGGTCTTAGCACTCTTGTACTGGCTAAAGTGTGCACGCTCAGTGGTCGGTAAGTGGCGACGCACAGCAAGACGGGCAGCAGCATCGCGTGTCGCCCACTGTGAGCGAACAGTGCTGTTAGCAGTAGCAGGCGGGGCAGGGGAGGCACCAGAGGTGAGGTCAAACAGAGAGAAGCCGTCTGCCCTATCGCACTGGAGGAACAGCTGGAGGTCATCGACCCAGACCTCAAAGTCAACGGCATGGCCTTCAGCATCAAAAGTAAGGACACTGGGGGTAGCCATGACTGCAAGGGCCTAGTAGGGAGTGAGCTCACGAGTAGGAACAGCAGCGGATCGACAGTAGGGCGGCTCGCCGGCTCGGCGGCTGTGCGGCTCGGCTGCTGGGCGGCTCGGCTGCTGGGCGGCTCGGCGGCTCGGCTGGTGGGCGGCTCGGCTGGTGGGCGGCTCGGCTGCTCGATGGCTCGGGTGCTGGGCGGCTCGGCTGCTGGGCGGCTCAGCTGCTCGGCAGGTGGGCGGCTCGGCTGCTGGGCGGCTCGGCTGCAGGGCGGCTCGGCTGCTCGGCAGGTAGGCGGCTCGGCTGCTGGGCGGTGCGGCTGCTGGGCGGCTCGGCTGCTTGGCTGCTCGGCGGCTCGGTCGCTGGGCCGGTAGAGGCGGCGACGTGGCCGCTAGGGGAGGGCGACGGGGCAGCAGGTGACGGCGACGGGGCCGCAGGTGGTGGCGAGGCCGCAGGTGGCGGTTGCGTGGCTGCAGTTGGCGGCGACGGGGCCGCAGATGGTGGCGACGGGGCCGCAGGTGGCGGCGGGGTGGCCGCAGGTGACGGCGACGGGGCCGCAGGTGACGGCGACGGGGCCGCAGGTGGCAGCGTCGGGGCCGCAGAGGGGCCGCAACGGGGCCGCAGAGGGGCCGCAAGGGGCCTAGACGGGGCCGTAGAGGGGCCGCACGGGGCCTAGACGGGGCCGCAAGAGGCCTAGACGGGGCCGCTACGGGGCCGTAAGGGGCCTAGACGGGGCGGCGACGGGGCCGTAAGGGGCCTAGACGGGGCGGCGACGGGGCCGTAAGGGGCCTAGACGGGGCGGCGACGAGGCCGTAAGGGGCCGTAAGGGCGCCGCGAGGGGAGCCGACGGGCGTCGCGGGGGTGGACCGTAAGGGGCCGTAAGGGCGGCGCGAGGGGCCGTAGAGGGCAGCGTGAGGGGCCGTAAAGGGCAGCGCGAGTGGCCGTAAGGGCGGCGTAAGGGGCCGTGAGTGGGCGCGACGGTAGGGAGGGCACAGAGAGCGCGACTCGGGCAGGAGGGAAGCGCGCTCCGGGCAGGAAAAAAATATCGTGGTGGGCCCTAGGAATCATTCCCATTAGGGAACCTGCTCGATACCATGATAAGAAACGAGGAATGGATGCATTGAGCTGAATGAGGAGTACAAGTAGTAAACCCTAAAGTGTTGTACCCCATATGAACTGCCCCACTACAGCCTACACAGACTATAGCATATATGCCTGACAGGATATCCCTAATAGCGTGAAATCTAGGCATCCAACACTCACCACACCATGGCGCACGAAAGTGTCAATTGCCTCGCACTCGGATGATCATCGCGTGACTGGATCCCCAGCAAACCTCTTTGTACCGCTTCATCTTGAGCATGGGCTTCCCGTGGTAAAGGGTTCTCTGCTCCTCCTCAAAAGCCGCAGCCCGCTTGATCGAGTAGCCAATTAATGTAGCGAGCTCGAGGAAAAACCTTCTCTGCGCTGCGCCTTGCACCATGGGAGCGACGGCGGCGTTTTTTGCGGCGGTGTGCTGGGATCCACCAACACCCCGCACCCTTGCTGCGGTGGCAACCGTGGCTCGCTCAATGTCCGCAATGCCCTTAAGTCGCCGCCGTTGCTCCGCACTCGTGGGCATCCCCACCTGTCCACCTACGTCTGCTCGCCCATCAACGCCGTGCCCGCCATGACCACGAGGGCCTCGCCCCGCAGCCTCCTTCGTGCAGCCCATCGATCGCCAATGGAGATGTTCCATGTCGATGGTTGATTGATATAAGTAACCTCGGTAGAGGAAATGGGGCGATCTTTGGGATAAGTACCTTCACACTAAGGTAAGATTAAATGAAGGTACGCAAGGGTATGGTGCGCACATTGGCGTGCGCGTGCTAGACTTGAGGCTAGATTACATCAAAACAGAAGCTTGTGTCTTGCAGATCGAGTAGTAACTATATCAGATCTAGGCGAAAACTGACCTGCAAACACAAAGGTGTGTTCGCGGATCGCGGAGGAAACTGATCTGCAAACACAAGGGTTTGTTGGCAGCTCGAGGTGGTAATTGATCTGCAAACACAATGTGTGTTGGCTGGTCTAGCGGGAAACAGATCTAGAAACACAAATTTCACAAATCTCCCCGCCCTCCCCCCCCCTCCCCCCCCCCCCCTCCCTCTGCCAGTGTCGAAATCTTGTAATCCAATACTCGTTAATTTTCGAGTATTCGTTTATTTGAGAACATTGATACCCGCCGAGAACTCGTGTGCTCACGAGTAATTCTACTTCTGACGAGAAATACTCGACTCAACAAAATCGAGTAATTTCTCAGAAACAGCCGTGTTAGTCGCCCAAACCGAGTAACGAATACGAGTCGAGTAAAATATTTGACTCGTCTCGTTGCTCATGTCTACTGTAGTGCGTTGTATGCATGTGTTTGTTGTGTTGGGTATGCTACCAGAACAGTGTCCTTCATGCGTCCCCTCTCTGTAACTTGTATGTGCACGTGCACTTCACAGGTCCTTTCATGACAATCGTATGAGTGGGAGGATTCCTGACTCTCTTGGGGAACTATCCCAACTACGCTACCTGTGAGCTTACATGCGGCTGCAATTCTGGAAAAGAATGGTACTGTTTTCTTTCGTTTCCTTGAAACTAGCATGGCCCTAGCACCCTGCTCTTCGTAGTTGTAGTGTCGATTCTCAATCCATGGCAATTATAGGAAATCATGTCTTTGCGAAATGCATCTAACATGCAACCACCTGTGTGGCTTCTTGGTGCTTTGTGTTATGGCGTTAGCGTGAACCTCGTGTGCTGAGTACCACCGGAGACACTTCCAACAGGCAGCAAGTCAATCTAGCAAGTTAATCTACCGAGCTAATCTAGCAAGTGAATTTAGCGAGTGAATGTAGCAAGTGAATTTAGCGAGTTAATCTAGAAAGTGAAGCTAGTAAGGGGTTTAAGCTAGTGAATCCAGCACAGAATTAAAGTAAACAAAGCAAGTGGATTTAGGAAGTGAATCCAGCGAGTGAATCTAGCTATTGAGTCTAGAAAGGGGAATTGAGCAACTGAATCCAGCACATGACTCTAAGCCACTATACCGAGTGAAAGTGAATCTACTGAGTGAATCTAGCAAGTGAATTTAGCGAGTGAATCTAGCAAGTGAAGCTGGTAAGGGGTTTAAGCTAGTGAATCCAGCACATAATTAAATTAAACATAGCAAGTGGATTTAGGAAGTGAATCCAGCAAGTGAATCTAGAAATTGAGCCTAGAAAGGTGAATTAAGCAACTGAATCCAGCACATGACTCTAAGCCACTATACCGAGTGAAAGTGAATCTAGTGAGTGAATCTAGCAAGTGAATTTAGCGAGAAAGTCTAGCAAGTGAATCTAGTAAGCGAATTTAGTAACTGAGTCAAGCACGTGAATCTAGAAGTACATATAGCGAGTGAATCTAGCAACTGAATGTAGCATGTAAATTTAGCAAGTGAATCCAGCACGTGAATGTAGTAAGAAAATATAGCAAGTAAATCTAGCGTGTCAATTTAGCATGTGAGTATTGCACCATTCTTCTATATCACCACCACGACTCTAGCCAAGATTTATGTCTCGCTCACCTATCCAACCTGGTCTCCATCCCTCCTCATTCTCCCCTTCTATATTCCCGGTCGCCCTCCTCTAAAATCTTTCCGTCTCCCCGCCATGGCCATCAGGTCTCTCGCCTTCAACGAGCTGTATGGGAGCATACCGAGCACTCTCACCAAGCTCACACAGCTCACATACTTGTACGACCGACACACTTCCTCACTCCTTTCCGCATGCTCTGGCATTCTCCTTCTCGTTTGCACTCGGCAAGTCACGCACCCATGCTTGCTGTTTTCTCGAAACTGTGCTGTGAGCAAGCCAACAGCAACCAGCCGTGCGAGGCATGGTCTTTAGTCACAAAGATCAGGAAAACAAAAAAAAATCTTAAGCAGAGAGGTGGAAGTATTCAAGTGAGGGTAATGAACACCAAACACTAACCAGAACTAAATGAATGAATGTGCGCCACTTGGAATCCAGGTGATTGATTGTGGGACGTGCCAACCAAGCATGCACTATGGTTTTTTTGTGGAAACTGACTTCAACATCACCACGTGATTGCTCATGGTTGCCATGCTTGCGGCCTTCAAAAATCTCCACCTCGACATTCTTTGGGGTGCTTCCTCATCTCGTCTCTCTTCACATCATACTTCCCCCAACTCAGCCCACCATTTCCTGATATGTCTCTTCTTCATCTTCATGTCAATGCGTCAATTCGATTATATGGATTTTGCCTGCTCCCTCCTCATTTACCTCCTGTTCCCCCTCTGCTCCGCTTCTCATACTCCTTGTTTTCCTTTTTATGCCTTCACGTGTCCGTCATCTTCTCCCCACACATCATCCATACACATGCTATTCAACAACCCCTCACACCTTCCCTTCCTGAAAACCACTTTTTCAAGTCTGGATGCAATGAGTTGATCCCCATGTGTCTTTCTCCCAGCACCTGCCCCACCCCACTGCAGCGACCTCTCCCACAACTACCTCACAGGACCTGCAGTCATGCCTCTTGCTGCACGCACCCTGGATCTCTCCAGCAACTACCTCTCGGGCCCTCTGCCCGACGGGGGATGCCAGCCTCTTTCTTTGGATGCCAACTGCTTCACGCTGCCGCTTGGCTGTGCCCTGGTACCGCAACGGCAGGAGGCAGCATGCAATGCATTCTGTGGCGTCTCCTCTGCTGCTGGTGCTGCTGCTGCGTGTGGTGGACATAAGGTGTGCTATCCAGAGGGAGCTAGCTTGGCACCCACATGTCTGTGCGACGTGGGATTTGTGCAATTTGGAGAGATCAGCTGTGTTGCTCAAGGTAGGGGACACCACTTGAAATCAATGAAGTTTGACCACAGACGGATTCACAAAATGGTGGAATGTCCAACTCGCATGGACTCATGTAGCTTGTAAATAGGAAATTTGTTCAACCTTTGTATTATGAGAGAGAGGCTTCCATTCCATGTTTTTACTTGTAGTTTGAATGTCTTAGTACCCTCTAGTTTTAGTTTTCGTGGTTGGGGTGTTACACCAATCTCCCAACCCAGCCCAAATGTGATGTGATCAACCAAAATCTTCAACCCCACCTATTGGAGATTTCAGCCGATCTAATTGGGGATTGCCCCAGATTCCCTGCCCATCTGTTTCAATTCATGTACTTAAGAACCTTGAGCTCCTTTTTCTATTCAAATAATTCTCGCTCAGATTCTTGCGCATATCTCATTCCTGCCGTCCCTCTGATATGTTTGTGCAGGCCAGAACAAGAATCACTCAAGAAGCCAGCCGGTTCTCCAGTCATTGTCTGTGCTCACCAAGGGGGTGCAGCGCGAGACAGGGGGGAACTTCACTGCAGCGCCGGTGACGCTGTTTGTGTACGAGGCAGGGCAGACACGTTTGGGGTGTGGGCTGGAGCTTGCCTTCCACGCCAACTTCACCTTCTCCCTCTCGCCTCGATCCGGCCGCGTGGGCTTCAACGGCTTTGCCTTTGTCGTCTCCGCGATAGACCTGGTGGGGAGTGGTGTAGGTGTGGGGTATGGTGGAATGGACACACGGAGCATCGCAGTTGAGTTTGACACTCTGCAGAATAAGGAGCATGGTGACATGAGCGGCCAGCATGTGGGGCTGAACATTCGAGGCGAGGACAGGTCGCTAGCCGCTGTGAGGTTGCCCTTCCCTCTGAGCAACAGGAAGGCGTACACGGCGTGGGTGGACTATGAGCCGGGGGACCCCGGCACCTTCCACGTCTTCCTGGCTGACTCGCAGGAGAAGCCGCAGCGGGCACTGCTGGAGAGGAGGCTGGCGCTGTGTGAGGTGCTGCAGGGTGCAGCCGAGCAGCCGCCTTCTTCTTTGGCTTCGTGGCATCCACCACTGTGAAGCCGTTTCAGCGCCCTGTGCACGGCTTTTAGCGCACACGGTTCAAGGGGTTTGTGGGGCTCATGCTGGCAGTGCAACGACAGCCAGTGGTGGTTCATATCGAGGCTTCTGCTCTAGTGTTTGCACAATATGACGGGGTGGGTGTTGCTTGCATTGATCCTACATGCTGTACATTCGATGTAAGAAGTTGGATTAAAGTTTTGCCTGCATTGGCTTCATGCCTCAAGAACACCCATTCTTTTTCTCGTCGTGGTGTCCCTATGTCTTTTCAGACCTTCAAGTACCAGGATCCTGGATGCTATACTGGCAGACTGAACCATGTTGTACTTGTTGTTGGGTACTTCGTCTTGAGAAATGACGGCAGCCAAAATCGCATTGCGCCTCCATTTTGGATAGTCCGGAACTCGTGGGGAGTGGAGTGGGGTGACCGAGGCCACATGCGCATGGATATCCAAGGAGGGGATGGTGTGTGTGGCATCAACGTGCTGCCTGGCATCTACCCCATTGTAAAGAGTGAGCCAACTTCCTCCATTGTTCTCCATATCTCTATCCCCACCTTTGAGCACTCACAGTGTCAACTATGTTTGACAGTGAGGCTGGGACAAGCGTCAAACCAACCTTAATGAGTGCAGAGGATCGCTCCATGTTTTGTTTGTGGAGAAAGGTGGATGGAGTGAAGGGATCGTCAACAGAGAGAAGAGAGTGTGAGGCAGTGTTGTCCACGTCTGTGGGTTGGTCAATTACTGACTCATTGTTGCCTTCCCAGAGTCGTTCTCAGCGTAACTTCTAGTGCACATGTTTCTACTCGTCCTATTCTCGCATGTAACACCCTCCAGTCCCCAAGGACCCTTGCGGCCAGAGGAGCTTCAAGGGTGATGGCGCACTGCAGCCCAGCATGAACCCGTGTGGGCGCTTCTCATGCCGGGCTAACCTACGCAGCAACAGCAACTCGTGCAACTGCACCATTCCGAATGAAGCCAGTCAACCATTTGTTGAAGTTGCAAACGGATACGGCTACCAAACATGTGCTTACTGTAAGTTGTTTGAATGTCGATCCATGGCTGTTGTTAGAAGAATGGCCATTGTGAAAACAACGGCCATTGTCAGAACAATTGGCGTATTCCCTATTCTCCCCCTCCCTCCGCCTGCTCTTTCCTAAACCCTAAACGCACGTGTCTCGCTCTGGTTTCACCATTTCTCTTCACGCTTGTGTTGCTTGCCAGTGGACGTGTGTGGGGCTGACTTGAAGAACCCCTGCTACGTGGGCACATGCATCAATGACGGCAAGGGCTCCTACTCCTGCATCTGCCCTCCCAACTACGTTGAAAGCACAACCATTGACAACTTCCCCACCTGCGATCCAGGTGCTGCTGCCATGGCTTTGGTTACTCTTGTATCATCATTTGGCCTTCCCATGGCCCCTGTGAGCTGCTTCCAGTCTCTACCACTGTGCACAAACAATTAGCAAACTCGCTTTTGTTGAATCCCTTCCATTCCCTTGTTCCACGCTCTCACCTCTCCAGCCAACGTCACAGCCAACACCATGGCAGTGAGTGGGAGCAACTGGTGGTGCTCCGGTGTTCTTGCTCTTGTGGGCCTCTCACTTGCCCAATTTGCGCAGCTGAATGCGGTAAGCAGTGGAGAGGGAGAGGCTGGGAGAGATGAGAAGTAGGGCAGAGCATGTGGTAGATCAGAGGAAACATGAATCATCGTTGCAGGGAATATTATTGAACCTTTTCGCTGAATCGAATGGAAGTAGTGACTTCGCAGGATCCTAACTTGGCTAGACATCAAATTATCAAATGCTCAACGCAAATCTGTGTGTGCTCCTCATTGCACACCATTGACTGCAGTCATCCTTTGCCTCGTAACCTCGTGCTTCAGCTGGGGAGTTTTCTCCTCGTTCCCTGCACCGCATTCTTCTACACCCTCAGTGTGAGCTGTCGTCCTTGTTAATTTTCTTCTTTCTACTGTATCCCATCAAAATATGGCTGTCTTGCCAGCCCAGCCTACATCAGCATTGTGCACAGTACAGCAACTCTCAATTCACCTCATCTATTGTAACTTATCTCCTCTTGTTTAACCTCCAACGCTTTCTTCAACACCCTCCTCTTGACCGTTAGCATTGTTGTCCCTTTTTTTTCTTATCCCCTCACTGCTCTTCTGTGTCAGCACGGCAACGCTGTCTTATCGACTCCACCGTGCTCATAGTACTTCCGTGCTCCATTAACCTCAGCCATCTGTGCCTCCTTTCGTGGTTCAACCCTCCAGGGCGACACATGCTGGTCCATCAGCGCCCAGGTGGGCATCACCAGATTAACCTCATGGCTCTCAATCCCGGCCTCGGCTGCTCAGAGCCCATCAAGGCGGGCCGCTATCTGTGTGTCGAGCGTAATGCCACCTTCGCCTTCACCGTGCCTCGGTGCTTGCAATACGGTGTGCTCACAGCACAGGACACATGTGAGCGCCTGCTGCAGCAGGTGGCGGGGAGTGAGGAAGACCCATCGGGGGCTGTGAAGGTGAATGCCATGCACTGGGCTGAGTTGTACCGCAACAATCCCGGCCTCATCTGCTCGAGTGTCATCCCAGTCTCCGCCTCTGCTGTTGGCAGCAATAGCGGCGTGCAGGTGAGAGGTGGAGGGGAACTGGGTTGGGGGCGCAAGCAATGGGAAGGAAATGGGGGGGAAATTGGTTGGTGACTCAAACCTATATTTAATGGGTTAGGGGGCAAGGAGTCATTCGTCATATTCCAGAGAGTGTTTACTTAAACGATTGTTTGTTGAGTGTGTGCCTATCTTTTTCTCTCAATACATGTTCCTTTCCTTTGCTGTGTTTGCAAAATATCGCCATTTCAGATTTGCCTAAGAGCTAAGTATTGGCCATTCGTTGTTGGCATATGCAAGAAGGGCAGGCAAAAACCAGTGTCACCCTCATTGACGTGCTCGGGTGCTTACAGCTTCTATGGTGGAGCTGCAAATGGAGCGGTTTCAAAATATTATGTGTACAATGAGAAGAAGTGTGTTGGGAGTGTAGGGTACAAGTTCATTTGTGTGCCATGATTACCGCCATCACACGGATATAAGACAGTGTTGAATAGAAGACAGGGGGTGTCTTTAAAACGGGTGTCTTTTATAAACGGGTGTTCCTGATTGCAAGACACTTGTACGTGTGTACCGTATAGTTCTGGTTAGAAGACCCGCCGGTAAGAAGGTCCCTCGAGACTCTTGAATAGGTAGGGCGACTCTTATTATGGCCGATTTTTTTTAGGACCCCCTTTGGCCTCTAATCATCATAAGACCCCTGTTTTCTGTATACAATAGTTATAATTGCTATTGTGCGTTAGCTTTTACTGGTGTAAATTCGAACTCTGACACACTTTTTGTGTCAGACTCGAATTCTGACACTTCATTTGTGTTAGTCTCAACATCTGACACAGATCTGACGCGCCGCACACTCGAAATTTTCGCGAATTCGTTACGAATATAAGACCCCCCCACCCCAAATTGAGTTGTACACCGTAAATATCAGATTGATAATTGATAAATAGGTTACCCCGGGTCTTCAAAAATTGCTGCCATAATGTCCACCCAAGCACAATTTCCAGCATTTGTAGAGAGTCCCCCAGGTCTTCTAGCCGGAACTATACGGTACGAGTTAAGGCAGTGTCTCCTAAATAGTACCGCAGTAGGATTAAGGGGTAATCTTATGAGGGGGTGTTTTCTAAACGGTTCTTTGTCCATTTATAAGAATTGTAAGACACCCTAAACCACCCCAACTACAAGACAACCCAAGCATTTTTTTGTGTGTATAAGACAAGACATGTGTGTCTTATACTCGAGCAATGACATTAGGTCCTCAAGTGGGTGTGGACTTCATTGTTTGTAAGATGCACTCCATTGTTGTACCCTATTCTCCCAAAGGGGACTTTCTAGAATTTTAGCCAACATTGCTAGGGTGAACATTTACCGTATGACCCCGGATATAAGCGCTGTCCTCGCCTTCAGTTAATATGACACAATTGGTAGCTTCTCAGGTAGGCCATCGCGCGACCAGTACTCGATGTTGTCGTTGTCCTCACCGCCCACACCACCCTCGGGAAACACATCGACCTCGGTGCTAGCCTCGGTGCAGTCTCACAGCCAGCCTCGGCGCGGTGCTCGTCATCGGCGGTCACATCGTCGTCAGTGCCCACGACGGACTCGTCTCACATGCAATCTTCGGGTGCGCCCTAACGTGGTGCCGGCACCGGAGCTTCATCCAGGGGCTTGTTAGCTTCCGGTTCCGTCAGGAACTCATCAAACACCGATGGCAGCAAGAGCGTGAGGACGGGCCGATTGCCCGTGTATTTTGGAGCATGCGGATTCGGAGGAGCGAGAGGTGTTGGAGGAACAAGAGGAGCAGGAGGGGCAGGTGGCGTAGGAGGCTGAGGTGGCTCTGGAGGATCTGGTGGGACATGGCTAAACGCGGTCACTCTATACGCAGGCCTGGGCTACTTCTTGAAAAGAATGTGGGCGACAATGAATTTGGCCATGGCTTCTACAGCCAGGCGGGAGATAATGGGAAATTGAATGAGAAAACGCAAGAATGGGTGCACAAATGAACAACGCAGGGACCCTGTCGGGTTGGCAGCTCAGTTTCCTGTTTCTAGGGCTAAGCGTCGAGGGAAATGCTCCACCTCCCTTCGTCCTTTTGTAAAAACGTAATGCCGCAAAGTATTGCTTGTGTGTTACTCAAAATGTTATAAAAGCCACACAACCGCAAGTATGAAGTGGCTTCTTTGTAGCAGTGTTGATTCTTGGAAAGAAGTTATGGGTTAGACGCTTGCAGACGTGTTGGTTAACCGATCCTTTCCAAATACCGGGTACATTTTCAGCTCCATCAACCGGTACCACGATGCTATGCCACGCCCGTGCATGGGCTTCCGTGCGCTGTGAGCATCTTTGAGAACCTCCCAAGCTCTCTTTCACTCTGGCAAACACTTGCAGTGGATGCCAGATTCACCAGACAACGCGCGCACCGAAACAGCCAAATCCACGCCACGAGCCACTTCAGCTTTTCTTGGGCGGTATAAGCATGACACTTGTGCTGCGACGGCTTTTGCCTAGGAGAGGGGGGGCGGACATCACGGTTCTCAGAAGAAGGGTGGAGACACCTTCAATTAATAGCGTGATATGACAGAATCGGTAGCTTCTCAGGTAGGCCATTGCGCGACCAGTACTCGATGTTGTCGTCGTCCTCACCGCCCACACCACCCTCGGGAACGCATCGACCTTGGTGCCAGCCTCGGTGCAGTTTTGGTGCCAGCCTCGGCGCGGTGCTCGTCATCGGCGGTCACATCGTCGTCAGCGCCCACGACGGACTCGTCTCACATGCTATCTTCGGGTGCGCCCTAACGTGGTGACAGCGCCGGAGCTTCAATCCACTCATCTAGGGGCTTGTTAGCTTGTGGTTCCGACAGGAAATCATCGAACGCCGATGACAGCAAGGGCGTGAGGACAGGCCGATTGCCCGTGTTTTCTAGAGCTGGCGGATTCGGAGGAGCGGGAGGCGTTGGAGGCACAGGAGGAGCAGGGGGGGCAGGTGGCGTAGGAGGCTGTGGTGGCTCCAGAGGATCTGGTGGGACACGGCTATACTAGTCATTAGCGGTCACTCTAAACGCGGGCCTGGGCTACTTCTTGAAAAGAATGTGGGCGACACTATATTTTGCCATGGCTTCTACAGCCAGGTGGGAGAGAATGGGAAATCGAATGAAAAACGCAAGAATGGGTGCACAAATGAATAACGCAGAGGACCCCGTCGGGTTGGCAGCTCAGGGTCCTGTTTGTAGGGCTAAGCGTCGAGGGAAATGCTCCACCTCCCCTTGTCCCTTTGTAAAAATGTAATGCCGTAATTCTACAATATTGCTTGTGTGTTACTCAGGATGTTATAAAAGCCACTCAACCCCAAGTATGGAGTGACTTCTTTGTAGCAGTGTTGAAGAAGTTATGGGTTTGCGGACGTGTTGGTCAACCCGTACTTTCCAAATACTAAAAAAAACCCTTGCAAAACGTATCTACCGCATGTTCTCGCATATAAGACTCCCCCTCCCCCCCACGCAAAAAAAAACACCCGTATCACCCTGGGTAGTAGCGCATATGTGCTTATAATGAAATCCGTTTTTTAAGGGGGGCGGTTGTAATTGTGTATCGGCCATAAGAGCCGACGCTGATATAATGACAAATACATAAATACAACTTAAATGCACCAGATTGTACACTTCAATCTCGTAAGTTTAATCGAATCAAAATTTTACAGCGTCCAGAATCAGAATCACGCGAGGGTGATTCTCTTACTGTGCACGGAGCTTTGGCACGTCACTTTGCCCGCGTGCCAGCTCATCTTGACTGGACGCGCAACCAGTGAGGCCCTCGAAATTCAAACAAAGTGAAAATAGGTGTTGACGCGCTGGAAAATTCGTTACCGTATTTATCAGGATTGGAAAACAAAATTATGCATGCGCTTATAATAAATCAGGGTTTTACAGGGGGGCGCTTATGATCGAGTTCCGGCTATAAGCACCATTCTCCAGATAGAAGCGCCGGCGCCTTTAATCGGACAGCACATATATCCGGGGCCATACGGTAATACCGTATTCTCCCGGACATAACACCCTAGGGTATTATGATAACTATTGGGAAAAAATTGGGGGTTTCTCCTCAATGGAAGAAGCTACATAGTACCCGGGTCTTATTATTTAGTACTTTTTATATAATCAGAAATGAATGGAAACAAAATCTGGGGTCTGACTGTTGACTCTAAGTACTATGCGGAAGCGTTTAAAACTGAACCACGAACTCAAACTTGGCAACACTTAACTTCACTTTGAACCCTCCGAGTGTGACAGCTAGTCACCTGATAGCCAAGAGTATAATAGATACAAAGTGAGTAGTTATGCCTTGCTTGATTTGTGGAGTGAGGAATCTGGTCGAGCAGCGTTTCGGCAGCACCACGTTACGTTTCTACTCTCGTCAATACGTAGTAGTAGAATTCCAAGCTAGAAAAGGCATAATGACATTCATTGACTTGAAGCAAGTACAAGCACACATTTATATAAAGTCCTAAACACACAAAGGAAAACATAAAGCAATAGCATATTGTACAGTGGCACGGCCGATCCCATGGTGGGGTACAAAGACCCCTCCACGAACAGGGTGATGCTGTCAAACGGCTCGAGGAAAGCCCGCAGCTCGTTGAGAGCTGTCAAGTGAGCATCGGACAGCCTGATCTCTGCCCATGCCGTGCATGTGGCCTTGGTGATGTTTGGCTGAGAGGGGGAGAGAGGGAACGGATGGAGAGGGGTTGGGAGGACCTGAGAGCCCACATGGTTTGGATGTCCCAACCATTCGTTATAAGAACATGCACTCCAAAGTGGTTAAGAAATGAAGTGGAGGTGACATGCGGGAAGTACATGGTGACGTGATGGGGTTGGGAATACTTAAGAGCCCACATGGGATGGATATCCCAACCATTTGTTATTAGAACATGCACTCCAAAGTGGTTAAGAGATGAAGTGGAGGTGAAATGCGGGAAGTACATGGTGACATGACGAGGTTGAGAGGACGTGAGAGCCCACATGGGATGGATGTCCCAACCATTCGTTATAAGAACATGCACTCCAAAGTGGTTAAGATATGAAGTGGAGGTGTAATGCGGGAAATTCATGGTGACGTGATGGTAATCCCATACTTACGGTGGACTCATCAAAGTACATCGTGAGAGGAATGTGCAGCTCACACCCCCTCACCACCATCTCCAGCGTGGAACCCCAGCGCGTGTCCGAGTCAATGATTAGGCGCAAGTCAGCAGGTCTTTTGCGCGCACTGCTGCCCCCCTCTGCCTGCGTCGCCCCCTCCTCTGCTGTGCCACCCTCTGCCTGCCTCTCCCCCCCCCTCTTTAGTGCCCTCCTCTGCCTCTGTCGCCGCACGGCCAGCATCATACTGTTTCTGGATGTACCGCTCTGACCACTGCAACGACCACTCGATGTAGCTAGCCACAGCTCGCAGCCTCCGGAGCGCCTCGACCACCGGCTCAACCTTCATTGCGTACTGCCCTGCGAGGTTCAGGACATGGGCCATGCACCTGGAGGGCAAGCATTGTCATACAGAGATGGGTATGATCCATTTTGGTATAGGGTCACTGGCGTACTTGGCATTACACAATATGCTACCAGACACTTGTGGCAACAGCGGTTGGCACTTACCTGAAGTGCCGAGACAAGGACATCAGGGGGGGGACACGCGGACGTGACCCGGGTGTGTCGTCAGCGACGCTGGTCAGTAGACGAACCGCCCGGTTGTTGTTCTCGACGTTGTTCGTGGTCACGTCAAAGAACTCACCACCACCGAATGCCCACTGCCCTATGACCTGCTCCAGCTCGCCCGCTATCTTATCCCCTGTGTGACGGCCCTCCAGCGGCCGGAAGTCGATCACCATCTGCTGCAGCTGCAAGTCCGAGGTGACTCGGTGAGCAGTCACCACCATGAAGGCGACGTTGTTCTCACTGGTCCATATGTCCGTGGTGAGTGTCACCCGCCCCGCCAGACCTTCCCCCGTCAACAGCTGTCGAAGCTGAGCCATAGCCGACTCGACCGCAGATAGCAGGTCCCGTGCAAGGCGGAAACGTGTGCCGAGATGCTGTGCCGCGTCGGGGTTCAGCAGGGTGACGAAGTCACAAAACTGCCATGTGGAGGGTCACAAACATGGTTGGGAGTGGAAGAAGAGAGTGGAGACAAAATATTGCGCACAGTACGTCAATGTATTCTCGATCGTGCGTGTGTACAAAATAGAATGCGCACATATCTTACCGCTGGCCCGTCGACAGAACAGAACGACAAGTCAAGGCCAGCGAACAGCATCACTAGGCCCTTGCGCAGCTGCCGCTTTCCATCCCGAGCCATGACATACTGATCGATGGTACCCTGCCTACCCCCCCGATCGGCGGCTCCTCCGGTCAATCCACCCGGCCCGGCCCCCGTCTCGGCTGCCGGAACGTCTGGCCATGTGTCACGTGCTCCCACGACCACTTAGTCTTATCCGGTACTATAGGTCCCCAACCCCCATCCGGGAAAACAAGCCCATGAGACTTGTTTGGGTCCAGAAAGCAACGGATCCAAATCTGAAGGCTAGGATAGTACGCCCTCTTCAAACGCCTGCCCCCCGAGCATCGTTGTTCAGCGCCCTGAACATGCCTTTCACCAAGCCCGACTCTTTCCTACTCAGAGCGCTCTCCAGGATAGGATCCAGGTCCTTATTCGTCGGCAGCTGGTTGGCCTCCCGCATTGCATAGATAGAAGCCCAGGAAATACCAATGCGGCGCGTTCCAGCACTGGGAGCGGCAGCAGCAGCAGCTGCAGCGTTGGCGCGAGGGTGTCTGCCAGAAGCAGCGCGAGGACGTGCAGCAGCAGCAGTAGTAGAGGGCGGACGCCCAGCAGCAGTAGGAGCTGAACCACCTGCGGTAGCAGCACGAGTAGTGGCAACAGCAGGCACACCAACAGCAGGAGCAAACACGGCAGTAGGTACAGCACCTCCACCAACACGTGCTCTCTTCTGCCCCACACGCCCCCCCCCCCACCCTCGCCACCGCTTTGACCGTCACTCACAGCGCCAGCATCCGCATTACCCGGCACCCATGTCGGGTCACGACGTTCTTCAGGCAACTGCTGCTTAGCTATGTTGGAAAAGTCGCGCCTAGCGTATTATACGCAAGCGTATATACGCTTGCGTATAATACGGGATGCGCTGAATGGGTTACTCAAGAATACGTGAAAAATACGCTGCCCAGGGGAGAAGAACGCGAAGAGCGCGGAGGTGAAGCGACTCGCTTGGCAGACGAGGTGTGCAGGAGTGGGAAGAGGCGCCAGGGGAACCTAGCGGATGCAGATCGCACGCCAGAGAAGATGCGCGATGGAGGTGCGAGACGCGGCGGAAGCGCTGCAGTAGATCGCGCGCCAGAGGAGATGGGCGACGGATGTGTGAGGCGCGGCGGAAGCGCTGCAGCAGGTCGCGCGCCAGAGGAGATGCACGACGGAGGTGCGAGGCCGGCGGAAGCACTACGGCAGATCGCGCGCCAGAGGAGATGCGCGACGGAGGTACGAGGCGCGGCGGAAGCGCTGCGGCAGATCCCGCGCCAGAGGAGATGCGCGACGGAGGTGCGAGGCGCGGCGGAAGCGCTGCGGCAGATCCCGTGCCAGAGGAGATGCACGACGGAGGTGCGAGGTGCTGCGGAAGCGCTGCGGCAGATCGCGCGCCAGAGGAGATGCGTGACGGAGGTGCGAGGCGCGGCGGAAGCGCTGCGGCAGATCCCGCGCCAGAGGAGATGCGCGACGGAGGTGCGAGGCGCGGCGAAAGCACTGCGGCAGATCCCGCGCCAGAGGATGCGGAGATAACTACTACAACGGGAGCTAGACTACGGGCTAGGCACGGATGCTCGTGTGATCTCTGCGTTCGTTAGTCCTTGGTCGTTTTCCTTGTGCACACACTACTTGCTAGTTCACGGGGAAAGTTGGCAAGAGTTCCACTAGGAAAAGTTCAGAACAATGGTACAATGAAGTTGGCATAGCAAGACTACATCAGAGCAAGCATTCAGGTCGGCCAACTACCAGCGCAGCTTGGTCGACCGCGTTCCAGCACGGCAAGGTCGACGGCGTACGTCGCAGGTTGACGGCGTGCCAGCGTTGCTTGCGCAGAACAGCAGTGCACCCGCTTCGCAGGTGCGCGCAGATGATTGGCGTGCAGAGTCTCGTCACCTGCACAGCGCAGACACCACGTCAACCTCGAGCTGACGACTGCCTCTGATCCGCCACGACGACCTCGGGATACCACCACCGAGGTCGGTCTCGCCAACTTCGCCTGGGCGACCGTAGCACTCCTCCGCAGCACTTCGTCAACCAGGTAACCTGGTTGACCGGGCAACCACGTCGACCAGCAGCTCCCGTACGTGCCCATCGACCTCCCAAGTTGACAACCACCTCCACGTCGACCTCACCAGGTCGACCACGCCCCTCGGTCGACCTCCTCCAGGTCGACGTCCCTCCTGGTCGACCAGCTCCACGTCGACCAGCACAGTCGTCGGCCGACCACCCATGTCGGCCACCCGAAGTTGGCGTCACGAAGTTGACGTCCTCCGCAGGTCGACTCCTAAGTCGACCTCCCCGAAGTTGGCGCCACCCTGAAGTCGGCGCCCGTGCAGTGGTCCCCGTGCAGGTCGACCTCCTCGTCAACCAGCTCGCCCACTGCTGCAGGTCGGCTGCTCCCCACACACCCGACCACGATGTCGGCTCCGCCCAAGCGAGGACGGGGCCAACACACAACTCCCGTTGACACTCCCCTGCCGCGTTCACGCTTGGGCACCCAGCCCACACGGTAGTACAGCTCCGAGAATAGCCCGTCGGCGTGCACCCAACACACAGCATGCCGGTCACCGCACCAGCCATGCAAGAGGGCATGGCACCTACTGCTGCACGTCGTTGTCGCCGTCGCCCACGTCGGCCAAGCGCACCTGGCCGATTGCGACGAAGCACCGGTTGAAGGCCGGATAGTGCAGCGCCTTCGTCAGGAAGTCAGCCGGCTGCTCAACGGTTGGGATGTACTGCAGCGAGAACTTCCCGCGCTTCACCATGTGCTGCAGCCAGGCCTGTCGCCGCTCCATGTGCTTGAGGTTGCCTGTCAACCCCATGCCCTCGGTGACCGTGATGGCCGACTTGTTGTCCACGCGCAAGACAGTCGGCTTCACGGCGTCCAGTTGCCGGAACTCGGTGAGGAGGAAGCGAAGGCGGCGTCCCTCCTTGCCAGCTTCAGTGGCCGCCACGTACTCCGACTCGGTCGACGACAACGTCGCGCACTTGATGCGCTGGCTCGACCAGGAGACTGCAGCCCCTCCGTAGACGAACACGTACCTGCCCGTGCTCGTCCTGTTCTGCTTGTCACCAGCGTTGTCGGCGTCCACGTAGCCGACCAGCTCCAGCGACCCAGGTCCACCGCCGAACTCCTGGGCGGTGTCACGTGTGTTGGCGAGGTAGGCGAGGCAGCGGTCGACCTCGCGCCAGTGCTGGTCGCTCCTCACCGTGAGGCCGCTCCCCAGCTTGCTGCAAGCGAAGGCGTTGTCTGGCCTCGTCGTCGTCGCCGCGAACTGCAGCGAGCCGACCTTCTGCCGGTACTCCTCCTCCTGCCGTTCCTGCGCCTCCTCATCGTTGAAGGTGAGCTCGGTGTAGGCGCCGACCGAGACCGGCGTCTTCGGGGTGCGCCCGGTCTGCTCTTCGTCGATGAAGCGCCTACGCAACTTGTCGGCGTAGCCCTGCTGGTGCAGCCACAGCTTCCCCGCCGACCTGTCGCGCACGATCTCCAGCCCGAGGTAATTCTGCACCGGCAAGATCTCGCGCAGCTCGAAGGCGACTTCCAGCAGCTCCTTCAGCTCCTTCAGCATCGCGGCGCTGCTGCTAGCGGCAAGCAGGTCGTCGACGTAGACCAGCACCCAGCAGGCCACTCCACACTCGTCGACCTTGAAGTAGAGAGCCTCGTCGACCTGACTCTTCTTCCACCCGGCGTCGACCAGCACATCGTTGAGCGCCAAGTACCACAATAGCGGCGACTGCTTCAGCCCGTACAGGCTCTTCAGCAGCTTGCACACCCGGCCGGTTCCGTCGTTGAAGTAGTCCGGCTGGGACATGTACAGCACCCGATCGAGCTTGCTCTGCAGGAAGGCGTTCTTCATGTCAAGCTGCATCAGGTTGAAGTTGAGGACGGCGACGATGCTGAGGAAGATCCTCAGCATGACGTAGCTGCTCACCGGCGCGAACGTCTCGTCGTAGTCGGCGCCGTACACCTGTGTGAAGCCCTTCACGACCAGCCTCGCCTTCTCTCGCTCGACGGTGTCGTCGATGTGGTACTTCGTCGTCAACACCCACCGGTTCTTCATGACGTTCACTCCTGGCGGGCGTTCGACCAGCTCCCAAGTGCCCATGTTGATGAGGCTGCGAATCTCCTCCTCCATGGCGGCCTTCACCGCCGGGCCCTTCCAGCTTGCCAATGCCTCTTTCACCGTCATCGTCGAGATGTCCCAACGGTGCTCCGGGTCGGCTAGCATGTCAGGGTTGAGCTCCGGAAACTCCTCATCCTCCTCGGCGTCTTCGTAGAGCAGGTCGTCGTCATCGTTGTCCACGTCGTACACCGTGGTGAACGCCGCGGGGACGAAGAAGTCAGGCGGCCTCCGAAGTCGGCGTGAACGTCGTGGTCCTGGTTGGACCTCCTCGGCTTCCCCTCCATCGTCGCTGTCGCTGCCCTTGGCGTTCTGCTGTACTGCATCCGGCGTCCCTGCCGACTTCTCCCTTGTGGTCGGCGTCCCAGCCGACTTCTCCCCTGTGATCTGCTCCCCTGCCGGCTGCGCGGTCGCCGATTGCTCCGTAGTCGGCTTCACGGCTGCCTGCTCCTTGACCTGCTCTTCCCCTGTCGACGTCGACTCCAAACCCACGTCAACCTGCCACTCGTCACCTCGGCCACCGGCGATGCACTTGGTCGAAGGCGACGTCCCACTACTCCCCTTCACTCCGGAGGCTGACACCGAGGTCAGCCCACGCAGGTCGGCCACGAGGGGAGGGGCAGGGGTCAGAGGGGGAGGGGTAGGGGTGCGGACGTCTTCGACGTCCTCAGAAGCAAGCTCACCGACCTCGGCAAGCAGTGGCAGCGTCGACGACGAGGTGTCAGAGGGCGGGGTGGACGACAAGCGGCCGGACACCGGCCCATGCTCCGTCTTCCACTCGGCCAGCGACATTTCCTCGTAGAACACCACGTCCGACGTGGTGACCACTCGGTCGGTGTCGACGTCGAGGAGCTTCCAGCCCTTGCTCGCCGCCGACACGCCAAGGTGCAGGCCCCACCTGGCCTTCGGCTTTAGCTTCCCACCACGCTGCTGCTCAGGGACAAGGAACTGCGCCATGCAGCCCCACACCCGCGCCAGCGACAAGTCGGGCTTCTTCCCGGTCAGCAGCTGGTACGGCGTCATCCCCGGCGGCAGCGCCGACCTCTCAAGGCAGTTGCGGACCCAGACGGCCTGCCGGAGAGCGAGGTGCCACCAGTGGTGCTGCACGCCCATGTGCAGCAGCATTGTCCGCACCGACTCCACCACCGTCCTCATCTCCCGCTCCGCCATGCCGTTCTGCTGCGGGGTGTATGGGCAGGTCAGGTCGTGGACGATCCCCTTGCCGTTCACGAAGTCGGTGAACTGCTTCCCGAGGAACTCCCCTCCCCGGTCAGAGCGCAGCATCAACACCGGCTTCTTCGTCTGCCGCTTAGCCACCGCCAGCTACTGCATGAACACCTGCAACGCATCTGACTTCTTGGCGACCGGCTGCACCCACACGTAGCGGGTCTTGCGGTCCTTCAGCAGCAAGAAGTACAGGCTGCCATCCTTGGCAGCCACGCGGAACGGCCCGCACAGGTCGATGTGCACGACGACCAGCACGTCGTCGGCGTCGGAGCCTTGGTCGGGGAAGGTGTGCCACGCCAGTTTCCCGCCGACGCACGAGACACACGGGGAGTCGGCGTCCGTCGCCGACTTGAGGTCCAGCCCAATGGCGACCTCGTTCTTTGCCGAGCTCCGTATGGTGTCCATGCTGACATGTGCAAGCCGCGCATGCATCCGGTCCGGCGTCGACTTCGTCTTCGAGACGATCGCCCGCAGAGCCACAACCTCTGTCGTGGGCGACGTCGACCTCGTTGAGAAGGGACGCAGGTCGGTGCAGAGGACACGCCCGGAGTACGTCGCCCGACCAAGCACCACTCCGGCTGCAGAGACGAGCATCATTCCCTCTCCGTCCTTCCTGCAGCTTCACGCCGTGCTCCTTCAGCAGGCCGGACGACAGCAGGTTGGCCCGCACACCCGGGACATACAGTACGTCGGGGATGAGTACCTGCTTCCCGGCCTCCCCTTGTAGGGCGACGGTGCCACGGCCCTGGACGTCCTGCAGCGCCCCATTGAAGCCGCGCACATGCCTGATGGTGCCGCTCGGATGCAGGTCGACGAAGGCTTCCTTCGTCCCCATCAGGTGGTGGGAGCAGCCGCTGTCGAGCAGTACTACCGCCGGGTTCGCCTGCACAGCTGCCGCCACCGCCTGGAAGTCCTCCCCGGCCTCCGGCGCCAGCGAGATGGTCGGCTCCACGACGCCGACCAGCGAGCACGACGCCGTCTTGTCATCCCGCGCCTTGCCGCCAGCAGGGGAGTCGGAGTCCTTTGCCGAAGCCGACGTCTTGGTCGACTACTTCTCCTTGCGCGGCTGGTTTCCTCCACGACGAGGACGACGGCTGCCAGACCTCCCACGGCTTCCCTTAGCGTCGTCGTCGTCGGAGTCACTGTGGTTGGGACACTCGAAGGAGAGATGGTCGGGGTCGCCGCACAGCCAGCACTCCCGACGTCGACCTCCTCCTCCCCGACCGCTGTCCTTGGTCGACTTCTTCTTGTCAACCTCCTTGGCCGGCTTCCAGCAACTGCTCCCGCCGCCACCACACTATCCGCGCTGTCCCGGTCGACCTCCTTGCTTCGCCGGGGCGACGAAGTTGGCGTGCGCCAAGAGTTCCTGTGACCGCTCAGCCTCTTGCATCGCCTCGTCCTGCAGGATGTACGAGGTCAGGTTGTCCTCGTTGAGCGTCGCCCTCGTGCTCGGCGCCATAGACAGCCGCTTCAGGAGGTTATAGCTGCTAGAAAGTCCCTGCATGACATGGGTGATGTACGACGCCGTGGAGTACTGCGCGCCGGCCATCCTGATAGTGGCGAGAATTCGCCGGGCTCGGTTGCAGTAGTCAGTCGCTGTCTCCTCGTCACCCATACGCATGTGCGTCAGCTGTCCCTCCAGCTGGGCGATGAACAGGTCGTCGGTGACCTGGTACGTTGACTCAATAAAGTGCCACGCCCGGTGACCGGCGTCGATGTACTCCCAGCACCACTTCAAGGCGATCTGCACGCCCGGCGAGCAGCACCGCGAGATGACCGTGAAGGTCAACAGCTGCACGGCGCGAAACTCCGCACGCAGGTCGGGGTGGTGCTCCCCCGGCGTCGCCACGGTCCCTCGGGCGAAGCCAATCAGCCCGGCCATCTCAAGCTGGGGCTCGATAGCTTCCTTCCAGGTGAGAATGTCGAGTCGACCGACCAGTGGAGGGGTGACCGAGATCCTGTCCGGCGTAAACTTGAAGTAGCCGTAGCTCGGCGCAATCCCACCTGCCGTCACCTGGGACGCCGACATCGGCGACAGCCCACTCCGTCGACCTCCGATGTCACCCTGCAAAGAGCCTGCAGCCGCCGACGACTGCATCCCTCGCGCCTGAACGCCGCCGACTTCACCGGCGTGTATCACACCTCGCTACCTCGGCGTGCCTCCCGCACTGCTGCCGACCTGACCTCCACCGGCGTTGATGCCCACGTCGACGCCGCCGTCGTTGTTCACCGGTCGAGGAGAGGCAGGTCGAGAAGGGGGGTGCTCCGCCGCCCACACGGAGCGGAGTCCGGCTTCGACGACTGCCCAGGGTATCGCCCCATACTCCTGGGCCTCATGGCGTCTCCTCGCATCCTCCAGCCGTCCCTCCAGGGTGTCCATCACCTCGGCGTCACCTACGCGCAAGCTAGTGACTGCACGGCTGCCGGTCTACGAACACGATCGGTAAGTGCTAAGGCGGCTAGACTGAACTACGTCGCGGTGTCGTCCACGCTCACCGCACCATGCGGAGACAACTGCTACAACGGGAGCTAGACTACGGGCTAGGCACGGATGCTCGTGTGATCTCTGCGTTCGTTAGTCCTTGGTCGTTTTCCTTGTGCACACACTACTTGCTAGTTCACGGGGAAAGTTGGCAAGAGTTCCACTAGGAAACGTTCAGAACAATGGTACAATGAAGTTGGCATAGCAAGACTACATGAGAGCAAGCATTCAGGTCGGTCAACTGCCAGCGCAGCTTGGTCGACCGCGTTCCAGCATGGCAAGGTCAACGGCGACAACCGTTGACTGTTCTGGTCGACGGAAGGGGTCCGTCGACCAGGAGGTAGCTCGACGGGAGCTGTGGTTGACCTGGGGCACCTGGTGGTCGACCAGAGGGACCCGGTGGTCGACAGGAGGCACTTGGGGGTCGACCAGAGCACCTGGGGATATTCGAGTCACACCCGAGCACCCCTCAGAATTCCGCAGCACCCCGCGAAACACACGCGCGCCCCTGCCGACGCAACCATATCACGACCGATATTTCGGTCGTTGCTCTACATTACATGGACGTGCACTGTCACGTTGCGATCATGGGCCTTGTGCTCTCACGCAACAGTGACAAGGCACATGTCGTGAATCCTCCTTCTCGCTGGCTGCTGCCCTCGTCTTCTCCTCCCCTAACTCCTGCCTCTCCTGTTTCGCCTTCTTCCTTTCTCCTCCATTTGCCTCACCCCTTCTTGGTCCCTCTGTGCTCCTTTCACCATGCCCACTGCAGGCTACCCCAGTAGCCGCATAGCCCACCGCGCATTGCGGCCAGTGAAGTCTTGGTTCTTCATCAGCCACAGTAGTGGCTGGTGATTGGTGACCAACACGAAGTGACGCCCCTGCAGGTAAACCTTGAAATGTGTAATCCCCCACACGGGTGCTAACTCCTCCCCCTTGTAGGAGTAGTAGTTGGCCTCGGTGGGGCTGCAGCTTCTGCTCGCGAACGCCACAACCCTCTCTTCCCCTTTTATCTCCTGGCACAGGACCGCCTCTATCCCAGTACTACTCCAGTCAGTGTATAGTACGAAAAGTGCATCATCTCTTGGGATCTGCAGCAGCGTCCCAGTCTTCACAGCTTCTAGCAGGTCCTGCCGTGCTGCTTCTTCTTCTTGCCCCCACTGCCAGCTCTTCCCTTCCCGCAGCAGTTGATTCAAAACGTCCACGCGACGGCTGAAGTTGGGCATGAACTTCTTATAGTAGTTTAGGAAGCCCAACAGCGCCCGCAGCCTGGCCTTGTCTCTTGGTGGTGCCAGCCTGTCCAACACCTTCACCTTTGCCTCCTGGATTGCCAGGCGACCTCCCCTTACTTCAAACCCAAGGTAGGCCACCGACCTGCACGCTATCCTGCATTTTTCTGGATGGCAAGTAAGCCCGGCTGCTGCTATGGCCTCCAGCGCCATTCTCAGGTTGTGTTCATGCTGCTCGTCACTGCTGCTATAGATGAGCACATCATCAATGTAGCAGGCTGCTGCTGGCACCCCTTTCAGCACCTGGTCCATAACCTGTTGGAACACTGCAGATGCATTGCGCAGGCCAAACGGCATTGTAACCCACTCATACAGCCCATCCGCGCCATGAAATGCAGTTTTCCTCCTATCTTCCTCCCTTATCTTGATCTGGTTTAAGCCCTGCCTGAGATCTAGCATTGTGAAGATGATCGCTCCTTCCAGTCTGTCGAAGATGTCCTCTTCCTGTGGCATGGGGTAGAGATCAGGCTCTATGATTTTGTTCAAAGCGCGGTAATCACCGCACATCCGCCTGGATAGGACTTCGCATGTGAGGTCGGTCTTGGCCGCCACCACTGTGGCTGCCGCATAGCTGGACTCGGAGGGGCGGATGAGTCCCGCCGCTAGCAGCTTTGCACACTTCTCCTTGCAGATGCTGATATATTGCGCACTCATCTGCCTCTTCCGCTGGTAGGTAGGGATTGCTGAGGTCAAGTTGATCTCTAGTTCTCCTCCCTTGTATCTACCAAGCTCCTTCAGGCTGTAGGCAAAGGTGTTGCGATGCTCTGCCAGCAGCTTCCTTATGCTTTTGGAAACCTTCGATGCGAGGTCATCTGCTAACTCCCATTCCTTTTCCTGTCTCATCCCTTCCTTGCCCCCAGCCATGGCGACCCCCCCTTTGGTCCCTTGTGCCACATACGCTGGCTGCCTCCTTACCACCGGCTCCACCCTGACTCCCTTCGCCATCTCCTTGATCAGCCACTGCAGTGAGTGCTGGTCCATGGCTCTCCTCAGCGCTACCCTCCTGGCCTGCTCATCCACCCCGGCTGTTGCTGTCGCTCTGGCTGCATAACCCATGGCTAGCTCTTGCTCCAGCGCAGTGGGATCCTCCAACTTCTTCCTGCGGGGATCATAGATCATTCTGGGCCCTGGACCTCCCTCCGTCTCCACGAATCCCCTTGCCCCTCGATACGCTACTAGTGTGGGCAGGGCGCGCCGGGGCTCTCCCACATGGTTGCATTGGTGCTGTCTGGGGTGATCGGGCTTTACCACCGGTGCTGCCACTCGCCCGAGCTCCAGTATTTCTTCCACCCTTCTGCTGTCGTCCCTAACCACTCTTGCTGCCCTCGCCCTCAATTCTCGTTCCGGCAGCACATTCTGCCAGTACATCCTGGACCTGTGGCACCGCGCCCCCATCTGCGCACCGTCCCAACTGACCCCCCTTCCTAGGCACCCTTCCACCTTCTCTCTTACTGCCCGCACAGGCTCCCTCATGTCCCCAGTCATGTCCACATGCTCCAGCACATACGCATACTCCTTCCCTTCTTCTCTCATCCACTGCATGATCTCCAGCAGTTTGTCTAGTAATGTGGTCCTGCTGTCTTGCATTCCTCTCCCCTTGCCGGCCCGTGAAGTGCCTTGGCACTCCCATCCCGCTACCAGCAGATCCACTTCGCCCCAGATCCGCACGGTCTCGCGTGTAATCTGCCACACGTCCCAGGTCCCTTCTTTCATGGCGCGTCGCACTGTCGCTGCCGGAAGTTGGGCGGGGTAGCGTTCCTGCAGCAGCCTGGCATGCCCCCATGCCATCCTCCTCACCTCGGGGTCCACCTCCACGTAGATCCACCGGCGCACCTCCAGCCCTACCTCCAGCGCCGCCGCTAGACCTGCTCCCAGCCCCCCAAACAGTTCCACCAGACATATGCTGTAGTCTGGCAGGCTTGCGCTGCTCTTCCTCTCACCCTACTGTACCCTTGTCCCCTCTCTGGTCCCTTCCTATTCCTTCACGCCTCCCGCCCTCCAGGCCCTCCGTGGCTCTGTCCTGACGAATTTCACCGGTAGCTCTCCCTGAGGACTCTCCTCTTCCTAGTACTTGGTGTAGTACAGCAGTTTTTCTTCCCAGGTGCATATCGTTGTGCCGATCTTTTACAGTATATCCATGCCGAGCAGCACATAGTAATAATCTGACTCTGTTATTCCACACTGCACTGTGATGCGTGTTTGTGTCTTCTCCCCTGGCTGCAATGCTGTCTCGATCGGCTCCTTCGTGCTGGGCATCCATTTCGGCGCGCCTCCCTCTGCCGTCATGATCAACATGCCCTTCTCCACTGTCTCCAGGTCTCCTCGTGCCTTGAGCTTTTCTCCCAACCGCTTGCCGATCAGCACACTCTGCACGCCGGTATCTGCCACCGCGTGCTCCACTTTCACCCCCTTCACTGCCATTGCGCCCGCCTCTACCACCAGCCTCTCCTCCAGGCGGCGGCGAGCGCTCCGCTTCTCTCTAGCTCCCTGCTGCACTCCTCTCGGCCTCCGTGCATAGGTCTTGAGTTCCACTCTGCCGTCCTTCCCTCCACTCCTCAGTCCTAGGTCCTCTCGTGATCTAGGCGCCATGGCCACCATTGAGTGCTCCGGTGGCTCCTCATCTACTGAATCCCACTCTCCTTCTCCCCATGCCAACAGCGCCTTCTCAGGATCTTCGCTCACCTCCATCTTGCTCATCTATGCCTTCAACTTTGCCACTTCCATTTCCAACTACACTTCCCGTGCGCTTTTCCCTTTCCCCCTGACCCTCCAACTGTAACACCTTTCCTCTGCATACCCCTTCTTGCCGCATGTTGAACAGGTTGGAGCTTTGGGACAGACACGCCGAAAGTGCCCATTCACCCCGCATGTGTCGCAGATCACGCCTGCTGCACAATCTTTTCGAATATGACCCTTCTCCCCACACTTATGACACCTGCGATTGTCACCTAACCACTCATGCCTCTCCTCTTCCATCCTCCAACCCTCTCCTGCAGCCCAAGCAGGACACCTTCTCTCAGTACTACGGGTGGAGCTCCTCAGTCTGTCAAAGAAGCGACGACCCTCTTCCACTTCCTTGGCCACCAGGTACACTTGCCGAAGCTTTGCCTTCATCCCCAAGGAGTACAGCCTCGGCTTCATCTCGTGCACTAGCTCCTCCTCCAATCCCCCCAGGAACTTCGTCACCAGTGTCCTCTCCTCTGGGCAGCTCATATCCTTGGCGAGTTCCACCAGATGGTTGTAGTAGGCGAACAAGGACTCCCCTCGCCCGCGCTTGAACTCCTGGAATTCCAGCATCCGCTCTGCCGAGTGTCCCGGGAACTGCTCCTGCAGCATTTCTAGAAAGCGATCCGTGATTTCTACTGCTGGGAAGTCCCCCCGCCCGCACTGCAGAAGCAATCCCTGCCTCTCCACGCGATAGTGTGTCTGGGCTTCTCCCTTAAGCGTCTTGCCGAGCCCTCTGAAGAACTCTATAAGGCCCAGTCCCTCCTGATCCCAACAGTACCTCAGATCCTCCACCACCATGAGGTAATTTTTTAGCGATGGTTCTTCTCCCGGATTTCCTGAGAAGCGATCTGGTACCTCGATCTTTGGTATCAGCGGATTCATGCTTCTCCCTGACCCCCAACTTGCAGCCCCTCTTCCTCAGTTCCCTCCAGGTCCAAATTCATCATCTTCAGCCAGCGCTGCTCGGTTAAACTCCTGCTGGCGGCTTTAGTTCCCTCCTCGTGAGCGCATCCAAACCTGCTCGTGCGCTGATTCCGCTGTGGGAGAAGCTATCACTCCTCGCGAACCTTCGCCTGGTTTTGCACCGCTCACTCCCTCTGGCGTGTTGCAGGCCGTGCTTGCTGTTTTTTCCCGATCTCTGTCACTGTCCTTCGGCGAATCGGCCTCCTTGCCGCCAGCAGCATTCGGATCACCTTCGCCGACCCTATACTGCCTTACTGGTGGTGGATCCCGTCCCTCCATCACCCTGGTGGGGTAGCTTTGTCCCGATCTTAGTTGATGAGAGTGCAGATCGAACTGCTCACCGTTCATCCCTCACGGCAGTTAGCCGTAGCACACTATGGAGCTTTTCAAGCTCAAACCAGCCTCCTTTTTGCCTGTTTGCAATCAGCTGTGAACTCCCTAGTAAGGGCCTTCCGAATTGCCTATGCTTCTCCTAGCTACTTGATTCCTTGGTTAGGGAAACGAATTGTAGCATTACGAGAAACAAACAGGCAAAAAGCAACGAGTCCAAGCAGGTCCTTGGTATTCATCCTCCTCCCTGCCTGCCTAGAGCAGAGTACTCCTACTGGCCCTAGCGCCTGATCGCGAGCCAGCTCAGCTGGTCGCGGAGGCACCTAGGTGCTAGCTGGTTGCTCGCCCACCCCACTGGCCATGCACCGCCATCCAGGCTGGCTGGCAAGGAATCAAATTCCTTTGCCATGCTAGCGCCTCCACCAACTCCCTCGACATTTCCCCACCCACTCGGCTCTGTAAAGTACAAAAACGAAAACACTCCAAACACACAAACGAAACAAATTGTCAAAATGAAATATAAAACACCCTCACAATAGCTGCTGTGTAATACACCTTCAGCTGTGTGTTAATTACGCGACACACATGCTCGCAACAGTGACGAGAAACGAGAATGATTGAGCTATGAAAGAGTTGGGTACAAGTACTAAGCCTAATTGGGTTGTACCTCTTATGGGCTACCCCACTACAGCCTACACAAATGTATAAACTATAATGTTCTGACAAACAGTTCCGAGCCACACGCTCGGGCCCTGAAAGCCCACACGCGCGGTCAAGATTCTCGCACCCTTGACATTGACCAGCACGAACTTATCTCGCGAACACTCGCGACTCTTCACGAACAAACAAAAACAGAAAAATAGAAACAAACATGAACGCTCACAAACATGCATGAACAATGTACAGACTTCACGAGCTTTCACAAACATAGGAATTCGTGAACATAAAATCAACGCACAGTCATGACAATTCGCGAAACAACACAAACGCACATGAAGTCTTGCAGTCACTCACGCAGTTTCACGAACACTCAGGAATACAACCTTTTACGGAAACGCAGTTAACTCATGAACCGTCGAGGTGATTCACAAGCTGTAAATGCACAAACGTAAAGCATAATAATGCGCTTCTTACACCAAAAAAAAAACCTTCAAACAAAACACCTCACTTTCACTCAACAACAATGAATAGGTGGTAGGTTGTCGTTCAAAACCATGTACTGCACTCAACAAACTCTTTCACAACCTGACAGCTATTCGCACCCACCTCCGTCACTCACGGACTCGACAACTCCTTTCACCACTTCAACCATTGGCATAGGAGACTTCACATCCTTGTCAAACAGCTCCCCCTTTATGTCTAACACCAGATTCTCAGTGTCATCAGCTCCATTGCATGGTTGATCTCAACACCAATGTTAGAGAAGGCACTTATTTGTTCCCCCACAAATTCAGCTTTCGCATTATCTGCTGCTAAATTTTGCAGCTTCACCAAAGCATTGCTGCTATCACTTGCAATAGTTTCAGCTTCGTTGAAGCCCAAGTCCACCTTAAGTTCTCCAATAAGCTTCTTTTCATCTCCTTTAGTGCTTGTCACATTCAGCAGTAACGCCTTCTCCTTAGCAGCTTCACCCTTTGGCTGCACCATGACTTTTGGCTTTTGCTGCTTACAAGTCTCACCCTTGTGCACTTCCTTCTCCTTGTTTACAGTAGCAGCCTTGCTTTCACTCCCTCAGGTTCCAGCATCATTCTTCTCATCACCACTAGCTGCATTTCGCTCTTCAGCCACTGCAAGTTGAACATTCACCTGCTTCAGCTGCTGCACTAGCATCTCCACTGTCACTTTCAACTCCTTAATTGTTTCAGCAGCCACTGCAGCGCACTCCCCCTTGCAGTTACAAAGTCTATTCCTCATCTTAGGTACCTCTTCCTTCCACGACACCACGGGCACATGCCATAGCTCATCATGCAGGTCCTTGTTCTCGTGCAAGTCCCACAACACACGGTCGCCAAGGCGCCCTTCGAAGGTTTTCGCTCCATTGCACACCCCTGCAAGTCCCATCTTCCGCAAGGAAATCAAATTCCCCTTCAGCTCCGGCACCAAGAGCACGTCTTCTAAGGTAATCGGCTTTCCGTCAGCTCCCTTGAAGGCTGCCTTGCCGACTCCCATCACCTTCATCTTGTAACTGCATCTTAAATTCATTTCAGGGGTGCTCGTTCACCTTATCTCGTCCAGCAGGTCCGCCTTGGGTTCATGTGAAACGCCACTCCAGAGTCCAGAATCCAAGTGTTGGGAGGATTAGGCTTTGTTCCCTCCTTGGCAGATGCTTTCTCACTCCCCCCATTCCCTTGCACATGGAAGAACCGCCCTGGAGCACGCTCACAGCCTGGTAAAAAAAGTAAGTTAAGGCAGCTTTTCACGAGTTGAAGATTTTTCTCGTTTCCCCTGGCGCGTTCGCCTAGGGGATTGTGGGCGCACAAACCTGCTACACGAACAAGCCCTTTTATCCCAACGGTCTAGTGGTTGGAATTCTGACATGGTATCAAAGAAAAAGTCTTGGGTTCAAATCCCAGTGTGTGCACCTAGGGCATCCCAGTGCGGAGGGGTGTCAGAGGTCCACTGAAGATCCCCAATAGATCCTAGGGAAGGGTTACACGCACATTAGCCTGGGGGGTTATGGACGCACTTACCCGCTACACAGACAAGCTCTTTTATCCCAATGGTCTAATGGTTGGGATTCTGACATAGTATCAGAGTGGTCTCGAGTTCGAATCCCGGTGTATGCACATGTAGGGCGTTGCCGCTGTACTCAGTCCTGGGCCTCCCGGTGTGTGGGGGGGGGGGGGGGGGGGGGGGGGGGGGTGTCAGTAGATCTACACTGTGGATGCCCGATTGATCCTAAGGGGGGTTATAGGCGCGTTCGACTGGGGGGTTATGGGCGCACAAACCCACTATACAAACAAGCCATTTTATCCCAATGGTCTAGTGGTTGGGATTCTGACATCCCTTACCTTCCCGACACTTCAATCTACTGCTACTTACGGGACTATCCACCCACGGCTACACTACGGACCCGTTCTTCACAACTAGGAATCACTAGCAGGCAACGACGCAGAAGGGGAATTATTACCTAAATGCCGGAACTGGCCAGATTTGGGTTCCCGATTCTTGATTACTGCTTGAACTCGTTATTTAGGAAGTTCACGATTCTGTCAAACTTATATCACATAGCTTGTCTAGGCTATAGTGGGGTAGACACTATGGGGTACAGTTTCTTAGGGTTTCCTACTTGACCCAACCTTGTGCTAGTTCATGTACCTGATGACCTGCACACAACCTGACCTTGCATACCCTCTTAGCATCTTGGCACGCTATGTTGCTCCTGGGAGACACCGACCAGAGCACATGGCTGCAGCGAAGGGGGTGTTGCGCTACGTGTGCAGTACGCCGGGCATGGGGCTAGTGCTTGGAGGGCGACGTCAAGTGGTCCTCGCAGGTCACACTGACGCTTTTTGGGCTGACGACCAGGCTCTGCAGCGATCGTCACAGGGTTACACCTTCAGCCTTGGCTCCGGCTCTATTTCGCGGCGGTCTACCCGCTAGTCTTCTGTTCTCGGCTCCAGCTGTGAGGCTGAGATCTACGCAGGAGCCATGGCTGCACGGAGCTACGTTGGCTCACCTACCTGCTGACTGACCTAGGAGAGCAGCCTTGTTCTCCTCCAGTTCTGTACGTAGACAACAAGGCCATGCTGGCCTTGTGTCGGGAGCACAGACTGGAGCACAGAACGAAGCACATTGCTCTCCACTACTTCCTGGCTCGTGAGCTGCAGCAGCGTGGTCAGCTCCATCTCACCTACGTGGCCTATGAGGCCAACACTGCTGATATCTTCACCAAGGCCCTTCTGCCTTGTGATCATCAGTGCTTCTGTACTTTGCTAGGTCTTGTGCCTACCTGGCCTCACTTGCTCACTTCTTGATCTTGTTTGTACTGTACTCTTTCTATATCTGCACTTGCTTGTTTACCTTTATATATATGATCTTGCATGTGAACTGGCCTTGTGGCCTTACTCTTGTGCTCGGACTGTGTGGTTACTTTGTGATCCACCCTGAGCTTGGTTTGCTTTGCTTGACTGGTCTTGTGACCCCTTGTTCTCCCCCACTTTGCCTATGGGTTTGTGTAAGAATATTATAGCTTATAAATTTGTGTAGGCTGTAGTGGGGTATCCCAATTAGGGTTAGAACTTGTACCCAACTCTTTCATATTTCAATCATTCTCGTTTCTCATTAGTTTTTGCACAGGGGTACCCCGATGGGTCGACGACCCTAAAAGTGAATCTGAGGCTCTGATCGCAACCATCACCGAGCCATCCCATCCCAAACCCCTCGCCTAGCTAGCCTTTCCCGTATTTATTCATGCCATTCTCATTGTATCGTCATTCAGTATTGAACCATTCTCGCTATTCGTTTTACTGCGCACTCTGCAAGTTCATTCATAACAAGAATGCTCATTTTTATCTTCCTTTCACATTATTATGATGCAATACCTTAACTCATTATCCCATAGCGAGAGCACCCGAACCAGCCAATCAATTCAGCCCTAGAACTCCTGAAGTGCCATCAGAGGTGCACGCGTGTGACGCACTACCGCGAAGCGCATTCGCGGTTTCCCTCGTCCTCTCCGCGGTGAACCGCACTGATCATCGTGCAGCCGTGTAGTCACAAACCGCCTGTCTGCAACGCACTTTCTTCTGCTAGTGCATCCACCCATCATACTTACACATGTCGTGCCACTGCGCGCCGCCAGTGCGAGCCGCCATGGAGGTGATCGCGACGCCTCCTCTGCGCGCTGCCGCACCGTCGCCGAGCGAATGGCAAGACGGAGGACGGCCGAGGCTGCGTGCGGCCGCGCGGTGCGGCTGTGCTGTCTCGAGACGACCGGTCGTCAGGTTTGTCCACTCCCTCACTCACTCGCTCACTCACTCGCTCACTCTAGTCTGCTCCTCTCGTGTTTCGCGTGACCCGCTTCTCAGCGGCACCACTCATCCCCCCTTCCTTCCCACACTTCCTTCCCGCCCTTCCTTCCCCCCTTCCTTCCCGCACTTCCTTCCCGCACTTCCTTCCCCCCCTTCCTTCCCGCCCTTCCTTCTCGTGTTGCAGGAGATTTCCTTGTGCCAGACTCCCATTGGTGCGTGCCCCCTCTTCACAACGCGTTTTATTGAACGCCAATTGCCGAACCTTAGGCGACGGTGGCAGCAGCAGCAGCGGCAGGCGGCAGGTAGGAAATGCGCGAGCGAGTGGGGAGGCGGAGGGTAAGGGGAGATACGAGTGAGCGGGGTACGCGAGGTACGGGGAGTGGGACCCGCGCGCGGGGACAGGCGCGGAGGGGGAGGCGGAGGAGGGGGAGGTCGAGGGGGAGGGTGAGATGAGCGCGGGAATGGGGGCAGGGGAGGTCGATGATAGGGGTTGGCTGACGGCGGAGGAGAATCGGCGGGAGGCAGAGGCAGTGCGCGCTGCAGTGGAGTATAGAGACGCCGAGGAGTTTCTTATAACGGGTATAAAGGAATCCGCAAATCCAAACTACCTCGTGTCGCACCAGTCGTACCCCTCCCCCTTCATCTACATCCGCCCTGTCTGCTCGCGCCCCAACGAGGGCGAGCGCTTCCTCCGCGCGCGCAATTTGCTCGTGGGCAAGGCGGACCCGCTGAAGTGCGTGCGCGTGCACATGGCGCGCACCGAGGGGCGCGAGTACGTGCCTGTGAGGATGAGGGATGGCGGAGAGGGGAGCGGGGGGGAGGAGGATGAGGAAGTGTGAGGGGAGCGGACGAAGCGGGGGAGAAAGACGAGGGAGAGGAGGAGAGGGAGGACGAGGACTCTGGGGAAGGGGACTTGGCGCGCAGTGGGGGGGTCGAGCGGTTTTGGAAGGAGGAGGAGGACGAGGCGTGGGAGGCAAGACCGCGGCAATGAGGGGGCTGAGCGGGTGGGCGCGCATGCGAGCCGCGTGGGCGCTGGAGGACCGCGAAAGAGACGCCGCTGCTGCTGGTGGTGCCGTAGCAGCAGCAGGGGGGATGCAGTTGGCCGTGGAAGGGCAGGGAGGTGGGGAGGGGAAAGGGGATTTGCAGAGCGTGGGCGCGTGGGCACGGGGGGAGGCGTTTGTGGGGGAGGTGGTGCCGTTGGAGGTGGTGGGGGATGAGGAGGTGTGGTGGAACTAGCAGAAGAACGAAGGCGAGCAGCAGATCGGGACCGCCTGGCAGAAGGAGGCCGCTGCCACCGATGCGGTGCCGAGGGGTGGGATGGGGTGCGGTGCAGTGCGGTGTGGTGGTGTGGTGTGTTCTACTGTGAGGGGTATCTCGTGAGGTATCTGTGTTTGTGACGAACGACGGCGAGCAGTAGATCTGGACTGCCTAGTAGAAGGAGGCCGTCACCACTGATGCGGTGCGCTGCGGTGGGATGGGATGGGACGGGATGGGATGGGATTGGATGGGATGGCATGATGGGGTGTGCAGGTTGTCATGGGTGGGTGCTGTAGGCATGATGGGAATGAACAGGCTGTCATCACCATAATGTGCAGTGTGATGCGTGCGGTTCAGTTCAGTGCAGTGCGGTGTGGTGGTGGGTCTTCTTTGCTTTGAGGTGTCAGGCGCCGTCGTAAGTGGGGCGTGTCTGAAGAAATGAGTGTGCAATCCATGGCATGGCGCCGTTGCAAGTGGGGTGGTGCAGTGGTGGGGTGCTGGTGCATGCAGCAGCGGAGGCGGGGCACATGAGGCTGCACGACGATGTCCCTGTGGTGCGCCCCGTTGCTATCAGCAGCAGCACGTGCTCAAGCCACTCCCTCTGCCCCCCTCTTCATCTCCGCCCACACCCCCACGCGGCAGGCGATGGCGCTAGCAGCAGCGGAGGCGGGGCACATAAGGCTGCACGGCGACAAGCCCACCACGGCAGAAGCGGTGCTTGCTAGGGTGCGCCGCAAGCCACTTGCAGATGAGCGGTGAGAACAGTGCGAAAGTGGAGGTGAGGGCAGTGTGTGAGTGAGGGGACGGGGGAAGGATGGGGTACAAGAGAGAGGCGGGCGGGGCACACAAGGCTGCACGGCGACAAGCCCACTGCGGCAGAGGCCTCGTCGCCAGGGTGCGCTGCAAGGCGCTGGCGGATGAGAGGTGCGTGCACTGTGCGGGGGAAGGGGGGAGGGTGGAGGGATAATCGGGTGAGGAGAGAGGTGGGCACAGTGAGGGCGGGAGGATAGTGAGGGGGAGTTGGTCGGGGGAGGTGACGTTGGATGGATTATCAGGTAGAAGATTGATAAGGTGGGGCACTGGCAGACGAGAGGTGAGGCCATCTGAGGCGACCTGCCCCCTTCCTGTGTGGTCTCCATGTGCTCCCCATGTGCTCCCCATGTGCCCCCCATGCGGCCGCTTGTGCGTTCCCCCCATTGTGTGCACACTCTTCCCAGGCTAGCAAAGGAGGAGGAGCTGAGGGAGCACTTGCGCGACCTGGCCTGGCCGCACGACACCCCTTTTGGTGTGCCCACCTTCTCGTGTGCTCCCCCCTCTCGTGTGTCTTCCCCCCTTGTGGCCCCACCCACCCATGCTCCCACTAGACTGGCAAAGGAAGAGGAGCTGAGGGGGCGCCTGGGCGACCTGGCGTACTACCAGGAGTGGGTGGCGGCATGGCCTCATGACACGTCACTCAAGGCCGTGCTTGTCATGCAGGTGCGATGCGATACGGTGCGATGGGGTGGGGTGGGGTGGGGCCATGTAGGTGACATGTGTGGGGCCGTCAGACGGGTGCGTGGGAGACAGGGCGGCCCATGGAGCACCAGATCCTGGACATGCTTGCGATGCAGGTGGGTGGGGATGGGGTGGGGTGGGGTGGGGTGGAGTGGGGTGGGGTGGGGTGGGGCCGTGCAGATGATATGCGTGGGGCTGTCAGGGAGTGGTAAGGGAGACAGGGCGGCCCATGGAGCACCAGGTCCTCAACATGCTCGCCATGCAGGTCGGTGGGGGTGGGGGTGGGGTTTGGAGCCACGACTCATGTGCCTCACCGCCCACCATTTTCCTTTTCTCCACCATTCGTTTTGCATCATCTCTCCTCACCGCCCTCTCGTCTCCTCTCCCCTTCCCTCCCCCACGCAAGACCCAGCTTGAGTATGGCTGAATCGATTCACCACCCACCCACCATTCGTTTTCGTCCTACCCCGCACCGAACCTCTCCTCTTTAACAGACCCAGCAAAAGTACAACGCCATGTGTGGGTGGGAGGGACGTCATGCTGATTCGCCACCCATCCATCCTTCTCCTCCTCTTGTCACCGCTCTCTCTCCTCCTCGCTGCTGCTGTTTCCCCTCTTCCCCCCCCCCCCCCCCCCCCCCCAAGACCCAGCGCAAGTACAACGCCATGTGCGAGCGGGACGTGCGGCTGATTCGCCACCCACCCACCATTCTTTTACTTTCTACCGCTCTCCCCTCCCTTCCACTTGCCCCCTCCCCCCCCCCCCCCCCCCAAGACCCAGCGTGAGTACAACGCCATGTGTGGGTGGGACGTGCGACTGCACAAGGACCCTCTGGCCATCCGCATGGACAAGAAGCAGTGGAAGCACGGTGAGCAGCGGTGCAGTGTGGTGAGCAGTGTAGCGAGTAGAGGGCTGGTACCAGCAAGGTGATGGGTGGTACCAGCGAGGTGATGGGTGGTACCAGCGAGGTGATGGGTGGTACCAGCGAGGTGATGGGTGGTATCAGCGAGGTGATGGGTGGTACCAGCGAGGTGATGGGTGGTACCACCATCCACTCTCATCCGCCCTTTCCATTCCTTCCTCTTCTTCCAGTCTTGTGTGGTGCCGCAGCCCACCTTGTCACCACACCTCCCCACCCTCCATGCGTGCAGCATGGGGTGATGGCCTGTCTACCTTATAGTGAACTACGAGCAGCCAACACCCCCCTGTGGTGGACTACCCAACGCCCACCTCGTCTGCCGATGCTCTCTGTGCTCCCCTCCCTTCCCCCCTACAGTGTGGGGCGGCGACCCCGTGTACCCCACGGTGAACTACGAGCAGGCACCCGGCCACGGGGTGGACAACCGCGGCCCCAACTTCAACGAGCCCAGCGAGGACCCCTTCAGCGTCGTGCGCTAGGTGAGGTGCAGCCGAGGGTACAAAGAAGTCGCAAAGATGGGTTTAGAGTTACGGTGCAAGCTACAGTGTGTTGTGCTGGCACAATGTGTGGTGCGGGGGCCCTGTGCCTGTTCTTTCTTTTCCTTCACCGCCGCATTAAAGCAACCTTCTCTCCCTCCTCTCTTCTTTCCGCACGGGTTTGTCTCTCTCCCTCGCCCTCTCCCTGTCCTGTCTCTGTCGCTCTCCATATTTCCCTCTCTTCTTCCCATATCGCTCCTGGCCATATCTTCCCACCGCAGCAAGGCGGGGTGGTGGTAGTAAGGTGACGCGGTAGGACATGGGGATCGCATCGGCACTTCATTCCTTTCCCTCAATCTATGGCTGTTGCTCTCTTTCAAACCTTCTCCCTCTCACGGTCTCGCCCCACGGCAGCTAGGCAAGGTGGTGACACAGGAGCAGATGGAGGCCATCATGACACGCGAGCAGGAGGAGAAGGAGGCGGTGAGTCACACCTCTTAATCTTCTCTGTTGCCTCTCAGCTTTGAGTAGAGCGAGGGACGTGTGGGAAAGAGGAGCATGAGACGAAGAGGGGTGTGTCAGAATCCCAGCCACTAGACCACTGCGATAAAATGGCTTGTTTGTGTAGCGCGTAAGTGCGTCCATAACCCCCCGAGCAAACATGCCTATAACCCTTCCCTTGGATCAATCGGAGATCACCAATGGACCTCTGACACCCCCCCCCCCCGTACTGGGATGCCCGAAGTGCATACACCGGAATTCGAGCCCGAGACCTTCGCTCTGATACCATGTCAGAATCCTAGCCACTAGACCACTGGGATAAAATAGATTGTTTGTGTAGCAGGTAAGTGCGCCCATAACCCCCGACGCCAACATGCCTGTAACTTGCCAGAAGTCTAGGCAGGAATGAATGCACTTTGAAAGAATTGGATACAAGTATGGAACCCTACGTTGGGCTGTACCCCACATTGGCTACCCCATTACAACCTAACCATATATATCATACATATAATTGGACACACCCCCATAGGCAAAGTCAAGGAGAGCAATGGGTCACAAGACCAGTCAAGAGAAACAAAACAAGCTCATAGTGGATCACAACGTCACCACACCCACTGAGCACAAGCAAACAGCCAAAAGGTCATTTCACATGCAGTGGTATATATGCAACAACAACAGCACACTGATCTCTACCTAGCAGAGAAAGCATGTAGGTATATATATAGATCACAATACAAGCAAAGTTTATAGCAAGTGAAGAAACGTGGGCACAAGGCCTAACAAAGTACAGAAACGCTGATAATCACCAGTCGGAAGTGCCTTGGTGAATGTATCAGCAGTGTTGGCCCGAGTGGCCACATGAGCAAGATGAAGCTGACCATGCTGCTGAAACTCTCAAGCCACGAACTAATGCATAGCGATGTGCTTCGTTCTGTGCTCCAGTCTGTGCTCCTGACACAAGGCAAAGTCGGCCTTGTTGTCTACGTACAGCATTGGAGGAGAACGAGACCGCTCTCCCAAGTCGGTCAGCAGGTAGGCAAGCCAGCATAACTCCTTACAGCCATGGCTGTGGCGTAGATCCCAGCCTCACAAATGGAGGTGAGAACTGAAGACGAGCGTGTAGAACGCCAAGAAACTGAACCAGAGCCAAGGCTGAAGGTGTAACCTTGTGACAACCGCTGCGTAGCCTGGTCGTCAACCCAAGAAGCGTCTGAGTGTCCAGAGAGGACAACGTCGCTCCATCCTCCAAGCAGGAGCCCCATGCCCGATATGCTACACAAGTAGCGTAGTACTCTCTTAGCAGCATCCATGTGCACCTTTCGGTGCCGATCAAGAGCCACGTAGCGAGCCAGAAGGCCAAGAGGGTACGCAAGGTCAGGACGAGTGCAGATCATCGGGTACATGAGGCAGCACATTAGCTCTGGGTAAGGACCACTTGGCTCTACGAACTCGTCCGAAGGTGGAGCTGAGAGCGAGTGACCTGTAGCCAGAGGAGTGGCCTATGCCGAGGACCAGGTGAAGCCGAAGCGCTGAAGGACCTGCTGCACCATGTATGACTGAGTCTGTGTGATGGTGCGACGTGCTCTGTCCGGGGTCATCTGCAAGCCAAGGTAGCTGCGCAGCTCATCCAGGTCTGTGCACGTGTGTCTCTTCTGAAGCTCCGACTTCACCAGGGCAAGAGCCTCAGTGTCAGCAATGGCAAAGACCAAGTCCTCGACGTACACGAGGATGTAGAACGACGGCAGCGAAGTGTCGGTGCGCAGAAACAGCGACGGGTCAGCACTCAGCGGAGCAAACCCAAGAGCCGCAAGTGTCATCCTCAGTGTCGTGCCACTCATGTGGCGCCTGGCGGAGACCGTAGACCGGCCGCCAGAGGCTCCATTGGGTACCAGGAGGGAACGACCCAGCGAAGCCAGGCGGGCGGCACATCCAGATCTCCTCGTGCAGGCTGCCCTGTAAGAAAACTGTGCTAAAGTCAAGAGAGTGAAGCTCGTAGTCATGCTGAGCGGCAACGTATAGCAGCACCCGAAGAGTGGTCATCTTCGGGGTGGGGGACAAGGTCTGGAAGAAGTCAACTCCCTCTCGCTGACTGAAACCTCGAGCAACGTAACAAGCCTTATAGACAGGCGGAGAACGTGGCGGCCGCTTCACCCTGAAAATTGACATGCGATCGACGATGTTCGCCTTAGGAAGGGGAACCTCGTCAACGTAAGTGCCTGTGGACTTCCGGGATGCCATCTCTGCATCCATGGCTGTCTGCCACTGAAAGGAGTACTCACCCGCGATCGCCTCAGTGTAAGAGCGCGGGGTTGGGATGTCTGGAGCATCTGGGTCTGCCTCAGGGGCAAGCAGCATGGCCATGAGATGAGGCGCAGCGGCTGCAAGACACTCAAGGTCCTCCTGCCTGATTTCAAGGACGTCCGTGCCAAGAGCACACTCACCCCCAACGGACGGAGGACAGTCAGACTCAGACTTAGCAACAAGACTAGTGGTGAAGTCTAGACGACAGGCAGCAGCAAAGTCAGCAAGCTTAGCGACGAAGGTAGACGCAGCATCAGACTCAAACGAGGGTCACTGACAACAGTGGCTAGCAAACGCGTGACAGTAGGGTGCTCAGCACGAAACTGGTCAGACTCAGGGTCAGCAACGACAGGCAGAGAAGACGCAGGAGGAGACGGCAGAGGAACACGCTTCGGAGCAGAGCACAAACGCAGAGCCATCAGGTGTGTGCCGGGGACAGCCGGCGGAGGCGGACAAGGAACACGACGACCAGTGCGGACAGGCGAGACAGGACGCGACGCAGGCTTACAACGCTCAGCAAGACCTCCTGGCTGCTCAATGTAAGGAGGAGCAGTAGACGACGGGAGGCTAAGAACCTGGCGAAGCACGGAGTCAAGCGGTAGCAGAGACGATGGAGACGGCGGAGCAAAGAACAGTCGTGGCTGCGCACCGCCACGAGCACCACCAGCTCCAGCACCACCAGCAGCTCCAGCACCTCCAACAGCTCCAGAACCTCCAGCGCCAGCACCTTCAACACCAGTGTCACCAGCAGCTCTAGAACCTACAGCGCCAGCACCCCTCGTACCAACGTCACCAGCAGTAGCACCCCCAGAACCGGCACCTCCAGCCCTAGGGTCCCCAGCAGCGGCACCCCAGTCTCAGCACCGCCAGCCCCAGTTATGCCAGTACCTCCAGTACGAGCACCGCCAGAACTAGCGACTCCAGCACCTCCTGTAGACAAAGTACCAGCACCACTCCCAGCTGCAGAGTCCCGAGCTTCTGCAGCGCGACCTTGATGGCTAGCGTACCACTCGTGCAGCTGCGAGGGGAGAGAGGTGCCCGCGGACGAAGGCGGCCTCTCCAAGGAGACCGCGCACCAGCAGTCTCAGTACCCTCAGGCCCCGCACCCCTAGACTCATCACCCCCAGGCTCCTCACGCTCAGGCTCAGCACCCCCAGACGCAGGCTCCTCACGCTCAGGCTCAGCACCCCCAGGCTCCGTACCCCCAGGCTCAGCACCCCCAGGGTCCTCACGCATAGGCTCCGCACCCCCAGGCTCAGCACCCCCAGGCTCCTCACGCTCAGGCTCCGCACCCCCAAGCTCAGCACCCCCAGAGACAGCACCCCGAGCAGGACCACCCCCAGCAGGACCTGAGTCACCAGTGACCTCCACATGTGCAGGGAGGGGTGACCAAGGCGGTGGTGCCACAAGAGTGTGGTGCGACAGGCTGCGTCAGTCACACTGGGTAGCTAGCTGGGTGGACGCGTACAGCTGAGGAGACAAAGGGGTGGAGCGTGACGAAGTGGTGAGGGTGTACAGAGTGGACCCAGGCGCACGTGTGCACGTGGCCAGGTGACGGCCGGTCCGGGAGCACGTGCAGATCGCCACACGCTGTCCTCCAGGAGTAAAGGTGTCAACCCAGTGATCCTGAAAGACGGAGTTGCTCACCAAGTTCGTAGAGAACAAGGGGAGGTGGAGACCAAACAGCTCACCAGACGGGACCGCCGGACACGGAAGCACAGTGGTAGACCGTGCAAGCAGTGGACCCCCAGAGGAGTCAGCCAGTGAGTCAAAGATAGGTACATCAGGCCTAAGCAGGTCCGCCCAGTTGGGCAACTCAGTAGAATCAGGTACCAACAGGGGCAGGGAGGGGAGTGACTATGATGCTGTCGTGAAAGAAACAGCGAGAAGCACCAGAGTCAAGTGTAAAGGTGTGCAAGGCCTGTGCGGACGCAGTACCAAGGAGAGCAGACTCAGTAGCACCTAGAGCTGTAGGCGCTATACCTTGGGCTATACCGGGGTCAGGCGGCACACACAAGTAGTAGTCACCCTCAGCACTAAGAGTCAATACATACATGGCAGCAAGAATAGCATCATAGTCAAGATCAAAGATAGGTACATCAGGCCTAAGCAGGTCCGCCCAGTTGGGCAACTCAGTAGAATCAAGAAACTTGACGCGCCAGGTGTCGCTAAGCCGCGCGAAGCTGCGGTACTCAGTGTGAAAGCCTTTGAACTTGCAACCAGTGCGGGGACCTGCGCGAATGATTTAGGGGCAGCGACCAGGAACCCCAGACGCCCCACGCCCGGCATACCAGTCATGAAGCTGTTGGGAAGTGGGGGTCTGGCGGTGACGTTGCGCCTGCTGCTGCTGCTGCTACTGCCCTTGGCCACCATCGATCTGACCAAAGCCCCCACCACCGCCGCCACCACTACTCCCCCCTCCGCCACCACCGCCATTGCTCCCGGGACCACCACCGCCCCCACCACCACCTCCACCCCCATGACCAACCCCACCACCTCCACCTCCCCCGCCGCCTCCACCACCGCCCCCTCCACCGCCACGTCCGCCACCCCTGCCCCCCCTACCTCCCTTGGAGCCGCTGTGCTTCCCACTAGGAGCGGAAGCAGCTTTGACCTTCTCAGCACCAAGGAGGTCGACAGCAGCAGCAGCGGAGGCGTAGGAGGGGGTAAGAGGGGAGGGGGAGCACCCCTCAAAGAGG